CCTCTCCCCCCCTCCCCGCCTCCCTCTACCTCTACCTCTTTCCCCATCCTTCTCCCTACCACCTTCCCCATTCATTTTTTTTTTGTTCTTTTCTTTTCTTTTTCTCTTTCCTGTAATCTTTCAACTATCTGCCTGTTATTAGTGTTATTTTGTTATTTCTTTTACCTCTTCTCTTTTCTCTTTGGTATCGTCTCTGTCTTTCTTTTTTTCGTTCTTCTGTTCCTCTTCTCTTCTTGCCTTTTTCTACTTCCTTTCTCCTTCCTTCTTGTTTCTCTATCTCGGCGTTTTGTTCTCCTTCGTTTACCTCCTTCTCTTTTGCTTATTTTTCTTACTTTCTCATCTCTCTCTCTTCTTCTGTTTCTCTTTTTCTCTCTCTCCCTCTCTATATCTCCCTTGTTTCATTCTTCTCTCTTTGTTTCTCTCTCTCTCTCGTCTTCTCTCTCTCTCTCTTCTCTCTCTCTCTTCTTTCTCTCTCTCTCTCTTCTCTTCTTTATTATTTTTTCTGCTAATCTCTTCTGCCCCTACTCCCTTTCTGTCCTATTCGTTCTTTCCTTTTTGTAAAATTTTCCGTAATATTAAAAATTCCTCCGTGTTAAGAGAAATTAATCAGAAAAAAAAACGTTATAAGATACGGTACGTTAGCCTTGAAATGCTAAAATAACGTGGAAACTAAATAACACTAAGACTATAGAAAAAATAAGGAAAAATAATCCGCTAGTAAACACGTTTAGAAAAAAAATATAAGAATATCACAGTCTACGCTAACCCATTTCTTTGACGCATCTCTTTCGGGAAACTCCGTCGGTTCTTGCCTCTTATATCCGGACAGCATACGGTTCACTGTCAAAGCCTCGAATACCGGTCCTATTTTATTTTATTATATATATATATATTTTTTTTTGTTACATCCTGCTGACGACCAAGAAAAAAAAAAAAAAACAGACAAGAAAACAATAAACAAAAGTTAAACAAGAAACTAAATAAAATCAATGTAATCAAGTAACCTAACGAACAATCAAGCCAATTAATGGACTCAATCAAAGAGAATCTCCATTCGTTGTTCTTAAGAAAAAATCATATTAAGAGAATTTAACAAAATCCCTTTCCATCATTTTTTTTTACTTAACCGCGAACGACTGTGCATTACTGTTTATATTTTTTTTTCTTATTTTCCAACAATGCATTAAACGATTTTGTAATTTGTTAATTTTTATTTACAACAATAGCGTTTACTGATTTATAAGTTTTGTTATCCTAATTTTTCAACAATGCATACTGATTTTATAAATTTGTTTTTTTTTTCTATTTCAACAATGCATTAACTTGATTTAAAATTTTTTTGTTTCTTATTTTCAACAATGCATTATTGATCTATAATTTTTTTTTAATTTCAACAATGCATACGATTTATAATTTTTTTTTTTCAACATTTTTTTGTTCAATAAAAAGAAAATGAGAGGATGGGCTCATTCTCAGTGCGTGTGTGTTTTAAGGGCTTAGAGTAACGATGCATATAAAACCATAAATACGTAGGAGTAAGAAAGGGCATTTACATCACGGCCCAGTTTGATTTTTGTGACGGGTATAATTACGATACAGCTTGCCATAATAGCGTACCTTTCATACTAGATATAGTTCATTATATATGTGTCCATACAATACCACACACACGACACCACCACACACACACACCACACACACACCACACACACCACACACACACACACAGCACACACACCACACACACCAATCATTACTGTGAGTATTATTATTATTATTATTATTATCATTATTCATATTCATATCATATTATTATTATGCTACATTACTGTATTATCATCATTGCTGTTATCATTATAAGTATAACTATCATTCATATTATCATTATCATCATGTATTATCATTATCATCATTATTATTCATTATCATCATATCATCATACTGTTCTTATTATTATTAGTATTATATGATTATTGTTATCATTACTATTATTATCATCATTACTGTTATTAGTATCATGACATCATCACTTATCATCATTATCATCATCATATCATATCATTATCTCATTAGGCGACCACTGAACATAGCTTAAGGCCCTTCCATGAAGTACACGACGACTACTACTAATAAGTAGCTTGTCGTCGTATACAATGATGTCATTAGTACTGTTATGTCATTAATATCATATTCATTATATTTGATGTAAGACATATAACAATATTAATAGTACTGATGATAATGATAACAGTCCAAAGATAATGATACTTGATAATCGTATTATCATTATTATCATGTCATGATTATATTATCACTATCATCACCATCATTATCATCATTACTATTATCATTAATTTAAAAACAATAGCAAGGTAGTGTAATGGTGTAGTTGTTGTTAGTAGTAGTAGTAGGTATTAGCAGGAGGGTAGCAGTAGTAGTAGCAGTATAGTAATATAGTAGTAGTAGTAGTTAGTAGTAGTAGTAGTAGTAGTAATAGGAGTAGTAGCAGTAGTAGTAGTAGTAGTAGTAGTAGTAGTAGTAGTAGTATTAATAGAAAAAACGAGTAAGTAGCAGTAGTAGCAGTAGGAGTAGTAGTAGTAGTAGTGAATAGTAGTAGAGTAGTTAGTAATAGGGAGTAGTGCAGTAGTTGGAGTAGAGTAGTAGGAGTAGTAGTAGTAGTAGTAGTAGTAGTGTAATGGCGTAGTAGCGAGTAGTACGTAGTAGTAGTAGAGTGTAGTAGTAGTAGTAGTAGTAGTGTAGTAGAATAGGAGTAGTAGCAGTAGTAGCAGTGGAGTAGTAGTAGTATGTAGTAATAGTAGTAGTAGTAGTAAGTAATAGAGTAGTAGCAGTAGTAGTAGTAGTATTAGTAGAGTAGTAGTAGTAGTAGTAGTAGTAGTAGTAATAGGAGTAGTAGCAGTAGTAGCAGTAGGAGTAGTTAGTAGTAGATAGTTAGTAATAGTAGTAGTCGTAGTAGTAATAGGCAGTAGTAGTAGCAGTAATAGGAGTAGTAGTAGGAGTAGTAAGCATAGTAGTAGTAGTAGTAGTAGGAGTAGTTTTATTAGGAGCAGCAGCAACAGTAGCAGTATGAGCAGGAGTATTAGTAGCATTAGGAATAGGAGTTTTAGTAGTAGTAGAAGAATTAGCAATAAGAATATTAGTATTAGTATTAGTAGGGAAGTTAGGTGATAAGTATTAGGATAATAATGGTAGTTTAATAGTAGTTGTAAAGTATTATTAGGATAGGAATTATTATAACAGGAACTAATCCAAAGAAGATTCAGGACGATGGAAGGAGGAGGAGGAGAGGACGAAAAAGGAGGAAGAGAAAAGAAGAAAGATAAGGAAGGGGGAGGTGGGAGGAAGGAGGAAAAGAAGGAAGGGGATGGAGATGAGGGGATATAGTAGAAGAATGAGAAAGGAAGAATAGGAAGAAAAAGAGGGTTGGGAGGAGAGAGAGAGAAAAAAAGAAGAAGAGGAAATAGAAAAGAGAAGAAGAAAAAAAGAGCATTCTTGACCACCCTTTGAATGATAGAAAAAAGAAAGAAAAGAAAATTATTCAGATTTGAACATCACAGGAGAGGCAGTCATAATGATAGCGATTTATCCATAATGTGTTATTACATTTTCTTATTATTATTATTATAAT